TATGATTTCATGATCACTTTCACCCAAGCTGCCTTCTACTTTCAAATTCTCAACGAGTTCCTCCCTATTTGTTAAAATCAAGTCTATACCTTTCCTATTGTGAGGGTATAGAGAAATTGCTGTCCAGCAATGGGGACCCTGGGGAGGGGGGCCCGAAGGGTCACATGACCCTCCCCAAAAGCCAGAGGAGTGGGGCAAGGCCCGCAGCTGGGGAGATAAAGGGGCAGGGTCAGAACTGGAAGGGAAGAGGCAGGGTCAGAGCCTCTCCTATTCCAGCCTCCTCTTCTGGCCACGCTGCCTGGTGCGGCATGCAGCGGCTGCACTCTCCCAGACAGTCTCTGGCCACACTGCTTGCCTGGGACAGCCCAGGCAGGCAGCGTGGCTGGAGGCTGCCTAGGAGAGTGCATTAGTGGCTCCACACATGCCAGGGGGACTGGAGCAGAGCCCCTCCTCCCCCTCCACCAGGTAACATGGGATGGGGAGGGGTCGGGGAGAGCGCAGGGCCCCCGGGCTAGGAGTAGGGCGGGAATGAGTCACCTGGGGGTCACATGGAGAATGGGGCAGGGACGAGTCACATGAAGGGGTCATGTGGGGGGGGCGGGGATGAGTCACGTGGGGAGGTCACGGGCCCCTTTAGCTGGTGCCCCCTTTGTGTCCCTCCCACTAGTTGCCTCTCCCCAGGTCCAGCATAGTGGGAGTTAAAGAAAACCTTTGGGTTCAGCTAGCCCCGCCCCACTATACCTGCAGCCAATGCCAGACCTGGAGGGGAGCAAAAAGAAGGGAGCCTGACTCACTGGGAGCTGACTGGTGATGAGGTAGTTCTCTGCCTGCCTGCAGGGACAGAGCAATAACCTGCCAGCCAGCACAGCCACTTGAGGCAAGTAAGGGGAGGCTGCAAGTAAGCCCCAGCACTTGGGGCAACTGAACTAGTGAGGTCATGCCCCAAACTGAAGAGACATGTAGGAAGTAGCCCAGGGAAGCAGATCTTGATTCCCTGCCCATCTCCCCTGTTCAGAGGTTGATTTACCCAGGGCCCTGTGAAACCTGGTAGAGAGGTAGGGTCTGGGTCCCCCCACCACTCTCTCTGGCCTTACAGACTAAAAGACCAGCAATCTAGCCACTGGACTGCCCAGCCACAGAAGACTGTATCACACCCATAAAGACAAGCCTTTAGGCCTTGTCTATCCCCAAAAGTTTGTACCTCTTTAACTATATCAGTAGAGTTTGTGAGGGTTGTACCCCGTTGTGAGGACACAGCTACACTGGTATAAATGTGCTTCCACATATAGCTTATTCCGTATATGGCAAGGGGAAGAAGTTATATCAGTATAGCTGCATCCACACTAGTGGTATAACTATTTTGGTAAAAACTCACCCCCCTAGTTGATATAGTTATACGGGTACAAAACCTCTGTGCAGACCAGGCCGTAGATAAACCAAAATAAGTTGAGGTCAACTGAAATAAACATCTCCACACAGCCTTTTGCATCAGTGTAACTAAACAATTTAAAAACCTATGCTTTTAATTAAATGGTGCAGCGCTCTGTGTAGAAAAGCCCTAAATTTACAGGCACAAGCTAGTCTTATGAGTGTCCGCACAGGTGCTCGCCTGGGGTTAATGAACCCGTTTTTTAAAACTGATTTAAGTTATATCTGCAACTTCTGTGTTTAGACAAGCCCTAAGTCTCACATTATCTTCCAATGCAGAATGAAGTCTTGAGGACCACATTTTCCGAGGTTCTGCACATGCTCTGACTACTACTGGCTTCAATAGAAGCAGCAAGGCCTCAAAGAGCTAATTTAATTTTTTTCAAAATTTCTCTTAAATTTTTCCACAAAAAACGTTGAACAATTTTCATGAAAAAAGTCAGGTTTTTTTAACCAGATCTCATGTTCAGCACCCCTGAAAATTTGGCCCCTAGCCTTTATGGTTGCAAAGTCAAAGATTGAAAACAAGTGTAACCAATGCAGTGATATCTGCTCAAGCCTGCAGAGATACTGCAACAGTAGCTCTCAGAGGAGTGAACTGCCCCATTCAGTGCAAGTTGTTACCGCTGAAGCCTAACAATGACATTTACATGTAAACACGAAGAATTATTTTGGCATTGGTCACTGTGTGCAAGAAAGAAGGAATTACCTTGTTATGCACAACTACTGCTGTGGTTTTCCTTTGGGTGATAGGAGTCTGGCTTGTGGGCAGAACGTAGAAGTGTACCATCATTTTTATTTATTTTCCCCAATATGATTCCTTGAGTGGACATCCTGATTTTACAAAACAGGGTTGTCCCTGTTTTGTGTGTCAGCCTTTGGGCCCTACATAATTTGCCTGAAACCAAAGTTTTGTCCTGGTTTCGATACAGTACACAAATTCGCTCTTGTGTTGGCTTGGCTTGCCTGTGTTCTTAGAAGGGATCCTGCTCCTGGGAGTTGGAGGGCCGCTGGCATGGGTGGGGTTGGACAGCAGAACAGAGTCCAGGGAGATCCATGTGGACCCTAGGGAAGCTAAAGGTTAAGTGGGTAGAAGACTGCTCCTTTTTAGCAGGGATAGGAGTTAGACAACGACACCCAGAAAATACGATGGTAGGAAATGCCACAAGTTGAAATTCTTGAGAGTTTCCTATGAGTTTTATTCTCATTTACCCAAGAATGGAGCTCTATTCAGAAACGATAGAACAGTCAGCACATTGCCAATTGAAAACTATAAATTAACACAATACATTTCCAGGGCTACTAATCAAAGGTTGTGTAGCGAAGGATATGTCTATTCTGCAATCAGGTGTGATTGCACCACAAGTTAATTTCGCTAACATGACTAAAAACAGTAGTGAAGATGCACTGGCTTCAGCATGGGCTGTACGAGCACCCCAGGGAACTTGGGTACATACTCGCATTGCTAGTCTGCACTGAAGCCTGTGCCACCACATTTACACTGCTATTTTTAGTTAGGCTAGATTAAAACTAGCATGGGTAGGCCTAGCCACACTGCAATCACACCTCCAATTGCAGAGTATGTCCACTTCTTATTTCAAAGGTAGTGGGGTTCAAAGCCTGTTAAGACTTATTAGAATTCATATTAGCTTTTTTGTCATGATAGGATAATTATTTTTGTCACATTTCAACAGCCAAAAGGAGAATTATCTGATCCAAAAAGTTTGATGGAAGTTCATATATTTGTGGTTTTGGTTGAGGTCACAGCCACTGCCCTTCAAAGAAGGAGTAGTTTGGTCTAATTATTCTTAGTTAGTGCATGCAAATTTGTGGGCCAATAATTTTTCCTTGTGGGTTCCATACTCCAAGAAAGTCTGTAATTTGTATGCTCTATCTCCAGTGTGACTAGAAAGTTCATGCCTCCATTTCTGGTTAATTAGCCTGAAATGAAATGTCTGACAGATTTTCCAAACTTTCCAAGTTTCCAAGTCTTTGCTTTGGCTTAGGTACATATTAGTTTTCCTTTCCCTTTTCAAAAGCATACAGTCTTGAATTTACTCCCATCACAGAATGAAAACTACATAAATAATAATAAACACATTATCATAATCCTGTGAGAAGACAGTTCTTCTAATGTCAATTTACACAGTGGTTTCTATACTTGATAATTATTATTGCTCTTACACCAATACTTTGTATCTTTTTATACTTCTGTATTTTTATTATACAATTTATTTTTTATTACAGTTATAAAAAGGGCATTTAAAAAAAATAAGGTGATGAATCTATATAAGGCAATCCGAGTTATGACGCTCTCCTGTGGATATTGGCTGTACTTAGAAGAGTTGAGGCGTTTGGTTTTGTTTTCAATCCAGGGCTTAAATGTGGTGTGACAAAATCCATGATACACTCTCATTGATGTGAGTTTTGCGTAAATGCCAGGCTTCTTTTAGGCAGAAATGAAGGCACTTTAAACACAGCTACGTGCATGCTTCGAGGTAGCCGTCCAAAAGTTCTGTGAAAAAATTAGATCCAAATCCCCGCCCCCCCCTTGCCAATCCCTTCCCTTCCACGTTATTTCTCATATCATACATAATTCAGATTTTGTTTTAGCTTTTTTTGTCCTCGGACAAAGTTTATTAGATAACCTATTATCTTCACTGTAAAAGGAAGAGCTTCTTTTTTTCCCCTCCTGAGGACAGGCTTTTCATAGTTGTCCTGTCTTTTAAAAAATTAAATGCTTTGAGCTACAGGATACTGTATACTGCTTGACAGAAATATGTGCATATTCTTGACAGGCGTCTCATGCAGCACTTTTACAAGATTGTTTCATGTTGTCAGTAAGAGGATCTTCAGATAAAATATCACAGCCATTCCCACCAAGTTTCCAGTTCGCCTACTCCTGGTTCTTTTTTATCAAATCATTAAGAAGATCTATTCTCTTGCAGTCATAGAGGGCTCTGGCCAGCTTTCCTACTGTAGGCCCTTTGTAGCCTTCACTCATAACCCATTTCTGCAGCATTTGGTAAACTTTTTCTTTGAGTCCATCTCGTTCGTAGTCATGGTCAATTTCATCAATCTGTGGCTCACTAAAGCCCAGTTTACGAGCACAGTGTTTCCACTGTTTAGCCAAGTTCTCTCTCACTAGATTCAGCTGTTTTTCAGAGAGGATAGAGGTGCTATCTGCAAAAAGAAAGATGAGTATAAGAAGACAGCATTGTTTAAACTCCCCTTCTCTTTGAATGTCTCTCCCCAAAATATGGTCACTAGTAATGACAGGATTGTAGGTGGCTTTCATGTAAGCAGTTGGTCTAGTGATTAAAGAAGAGGACTGGATGTCACAACACTCCTGTATCTGCTACTGTTTTGCTTTTTTGACCTGGGACATGTCTACCTCACAGTGGTGATATGAGGCTTAATTAATGTTTAATTAATATTTATAAAATGCTTTGATATCCTTGGATGAAAGATACTGTTATGACTTCTCGATTAAATAAATTAAAAATATGCAGTAGTGGTTTAAGCCAGTATTGACAAATACAAATACTATGGCCTTTTAAAATAGTCCTGCCCCTCCTGTACTGAAATGTTTCAACTCTTAGTCAGGACCACTGATCCTAGTTTTGCTTCCACTGTTCTGCTTTTTTTCTCTGTCTTTATGTACACATCTGCACATGCTGGGGCTTGGTGACTCATGAAACAGTACACTGTGGTGCCATGCTTAATGTCAGCTTCAGGTTTGGTAGAGGCAGCTGGGGGAGAATATCATCTAAGAGGTGATGAAAGAGGGCGGGAGGGGGAGGGAATGGTTTAGTAATACAAAGCAATGTTAGTACAAACAACCACTCATGATGATAACCATAAGTATTGCGTAACTGTAATGCTATGTAATAAAGGAGGACCCAAAATGGCTAACTTCTGAATACAACAGCGAGCAAGATGCACTGTACATTCACTAAAGATGGTTCTCAGAAAGAGACTGTCAGCCTTCAGATTGTGCCCAAAGAGTAAGGCAAGCAGGGACCAAGGGGTGGGGTGCACAAGGAACAGAGAGCTGATTGTAAAGAGGAACATTATAAAAGAACGGAGAGAGATTGCTCTTACCAAATATACCCATGTTTTCATAATGTGCATAAGTGTTTTGCGTGTTGACCGGAACACTGCTTACATATAGATTCTGTTCTTCAATCTCCATGTGATTGTAGGCTCCAATTTGAATTCCGGTACTGTTATATATGGTGTATTTTGCAGTTTCATCTGTGTAAAGGCAGTTTAAGACTGATATATAATCAAGTACATGCAGTTTAGAATTCAAGAGATACGATGATGGCAAGGGCAAGGAAGAATGATTTATTTTGTATTTAAACCAAATACAGCCATGATGATTATTTTGTATTTAAACTAGAAACAGCCTTACTTTGGCCACTGCAAGAACTTTTTCATTATTAATTTATGATACTTCTGTACTGGGTGCTCTCGGTGTGCTTTGGGTTGTACAAACAGAAGAAGTCACAATCCCTGCCCCTAGGAACTTGCATTCTGAATTGAATAGGCAATACAGTTCGGAGACATAATTCACTGGGTGAAAGATGAAAGTCAATCTCAAAATTTCAAAGTGGTGGCGATGTTCCTTTAAAAAAAAAGTGCATGCAGGGGATGGGGGGGGGGAAGGAAGGTTAAGAGAAATGGGGAGTTCTGAGTTCGTGACTTCAATGGTGCTACACTGATTTACATCAGTTGAGGATCAGGCCCCAAATCTTTTGTGAAATATTTACTGGATTTAATATTACATGTATCAGATTTAATATATACAGACCCTTATCTTTATATGGCTTCACTTCCACCTATGCACTGGCCATTACAGCAGGACTGGCTCTCGGGGAGAAGCATGTTGTGCTCTGTGACTCTGCAGATGTACAACCCTTGCGCGCTACAGAAGTCTTGGGCAAAAAGCTTCTGGGTGCTCCCCCATGGTTAGTGTGTCTCTGTACTGTCCTCTCTGAAGGGCTGTACCTTGGAGGCACAGCAGATTACTAAATTGCTGAATAGGCATGGCTGAGATTCTAAGTGCATAAAGATCAGGAAGTTCAAAATGGCACAGTCCCTTACTACTGTAATAGAGATGCTTACGGTAATCAAGATAAGAGACGAGGAGGAGACCATATTAGTTCATTTTATATCATGACAATAGTTCCTGGAAGATACTTAGCTAAATGTATTAAAATGGCTATGTATAAATGGCCCCTTCAGATCTGCTTCCTGTGTGTGTCCAGAGTAACATCTGCATACTTTATTGAAAACAACACAGTCATATTCAGTTTGTAAAGTGCCACATACATTTCCATTTCCATATACATGATTTTTAATCAATATCAGTAACAACTAACAGTGATAAATATACAATTAAAGAATAATGTCCCTGCCATTGGTGAATATGTAGCAATTAGGGATGTAAATACTGTTTAAAAAGTTAACCATTTAAATGATTAAAAATATGTCGTTTAAATGGTTAATCGATTAAATGGCTGGGTCGGCCAGCCGGCATGGGGCCGCTGTGACTGGTAGGCCAGCCCGGGGTTAATGGTTAAGGCGGGTTAACCAGTAAGGCTAATTCTTACCGGTTAACCAATTAACCTTTTACATCCCTAGTAGCAATAAACACATTGGTGGTTGGTTAACTACTTCAACAGCTTCATTTTTAGTCAAAAATGCTTTTTTGAACAAAGCCTAAATACAAGTGAAAAATGAAGCTTTTGAAGACTCAGATTTGGCTTATAGTTTCACTTCTCAAAGAAGTGAATCCAAGTATGAAGTCATGATTTCACAGTTCTGTAAAGCCCTGGAAAATCATGCAGTTTGTCTCTCAGAGCCATGACACTTCATATCTCTGTACTTTATAACACATCTACATGGTGCTTAAAGATACCCTGTAAAACAAAGAGACGTATCTCATTAACAGTTTTTAGAGGTAGAGATTTCAGTTTCACTTTTTAGTAAAGCTGGTCAAAAAGTTTTGAAATCAGGTTAGCATGCATATAGTGTTAGTTGTTAGGAAATATCAATGCTACAGCATTTACCTGTACTTATTTTGTGTTGTACAGGTGTAGTAGGAGTATATGCAAAATTCCCCTTCTTAAAAGGATTGGATTCCATTTTGCCTGAATAATTACAAAACACACAAATGCCAAAAGTATTTGGTAATCAAAAACCTAAAGGCACAGGTACTTCAAAACTGTTGTAATATTTATAATAATATAAGAACACAGTTAATGCTCCTAATACAGAGGGGGGGAAAGGTGCTGTTACCCAGAAAGCTAAGAAGCTTTTTAACGAATCCAATAAAAGTATATTTAATTAAACACATTATAGCTTAGTGAAGTGCGTAACAACCTTATTCTGTGTCAAGATCCTCTAGCATAGACACTGGCAAAGTGCCAGTGTGACCAATGGGATTCCACACAGATGTAAGAGTTCCTTTGCTAGCAGATTCCAGTGCAGGATTAGAGTCTAGATATGGATTTAGGGACCTAATTTTAGGTACACACATTTGAAAATTCCAGCCTAAGGTAACACAACAAGTAAACAGAAGAGCTGGCAGGTCATCTGATTCTCAGGGCTTGCCTATATGGAACCTTAGTTGGCAGCAAGCCAGGGTATGAAAGTACAGCACACTAGCATGCCATGCCTTAAGTCCCCCTGTGAACCCTGCTGCCAGGCACAACTTCTGTAGTGCACTTTGACTTACTGCTGTTTGAAACACTAAGCATGGCATTTTTAGCACGTGGCAGCAGCGTCCATAGGGCAACGTATGCCACAGCAGGCTAGTGTGCTGTACATTCACATCCTGGCTTACCATCCACCAAATCTCTGGGTGGCCATGCTCGTAGTCTGGTATCTTCTCCACTATATCATGCTGCTTCCCAATAATCCCTTCTGCATTTCTTTTCTTTCTATCCAAATATTTAACTTTATTAGTGATTTTGAGAGTTACAATTTCCACCTGCAGATGTGACAGTCACAGCTCTCACAAACTCCTCTCAATCAATATATTGATATAGACAGCAATCACAGACTCTCCATACAGCATTTTTTTGCATTCTCTCTGTCAACTCTGTGGCACCTTGTGGTTTCTTAGTGTAAAGTGCTGAAAAGGAATACCATACCCGGAAAATCCAGCCTCTAGGGTAAAATGATTAATCTGTATAATACCTTGTCCTTTTCCTAAATGGTATGGGACAAACTCCACTGAACACATGGTTATTGACCTGTTTGTTTATGTTTATTTTTGCTAAACTCTCAATATTCTCTCCTTTCTCCGCCTCCATAGCCTTCTGTTCCTGAGGATACATACCTCACCTGCAATTGCTGAGAGGCATTGCCATAGCAGCATTAGATATAACCTGCTCTCTGTACAGCTAAGAGTGTCAGCTTCCTGTTGGCTTGAATTTAGGGTCACTTATGAACATGGATCTTCATCTGGTACAGCATTTACCCAATCAAGCCACCAGAGCCGGCAAAGATTCATTTTCTGAAAGGTACCAAAAATCCTCACTCTAACACTGTTTCTGTGCTGCAACTGACCGGCAGTAAGATTCTGACTCATTTTACACACCTTTGTGAGTCTAAAAACAACTACCATTTGCTTCTAGCACAATTTGATGATTGTTCTTGTTTACGGTTCTTTCACCCTAGATGGGTTGGGAGAGTTCATCAGTTATTCAACTGCCAACTTACTCCTGGGGGCATTCTGCGCCAAAAAATTAAAAATTCTGCGCACAATATTTTAAAATTCTGCAAATTGTATTTGTCAAAATAACACTAAATAATCATGCCAGTTTCAATTATTTTGGTAATTTATTTCAAAATACCGGTCAGCAAGTATGTCTGTAACAATACAGACACACACAAAAATTCCCCCTGGAGTAGAGAGTTAAAGAAACCTCTATAACAACCCAGTTCCTGTTTCTCTGCCCACCCCACCCCAGAGCCCAGTCAGGGGGCCAGACACTCACAACCCCTCCCCCCCCACAAAGCCCAGCTGTGGGGCCCTCCAGCTAATACACCTCTACCCCCTCCACCCCAGAGCCTCCTGGTGGGCCCCCCCAGTCCAGATACCCACACTCTGTCCCTCCCCAGAGCCCAGCTACAGGGTGCCCCCTTGCCCAGACACCTGTTCCCCTCCTCCCCCAGAGCCCAGGGATCCAGAGGGAGAAACAGCCTGATGCTTGGTCCCAGGCTTCCACAGAGTTTCCTGCGCGTCGCCCTCTCCTTCCCTCAGGGCATGCTGGGAACTGCAGCTGCCAGGAATCCTCTAGCTCCCTCCTCCTCCCCTCAGCAGTGTCTTCTATGTGCAAGCTGGGCTTTGCTGAGTCCAGTGGCCCATAGTGGTGGCTAGCAGAACTGCAGCCCATTTCTGTGGGGGAAAGGAAATTCTGCATGCACAAAGTTCATTTCTGCAAAATTCTGCATTGCGGAGTGGCGCATAATTCCCCCAGGAGTACCAACTGGATAATAGCATGCAGTCAGTGGCTTGATTCTTCTCTCTGTTACACTGATGTAAATCAAGAGTAACTCAATTGAAGTCAATGGAGTTAAACAAGCATGTGAGGAGAATCAAGCCCACAGCAGTTTAATGAACTGAAGTGATATCAAAGTATCAGGAAAACAAAGAGCAGTGGACCATAATATGTCTAAAGGAAAGCCTTTGCTACCAGCACCACTGCCTGAGAGTAAAAAATCAGCTGCTTGCTGGTATGTGAGCTACAAAATGATCAGTGGCCATCTTACTTCTGGAAGACGACAAAAGGAGTACTGTTTGTGTTTTAGATAAAAAAGTAATAAGACAAATATCTCACCTACCTGTCTCTGTATTCGGGCTCTTTGGAAACAAAGGTGTGGATGCTTGTGGATGCTGGTCTAGGCCAGATTCAGGCACAGGGGGTTTATTCAGACTAAATGTATTGGCTGAATTTGATCCATAGAGATCCTCTGGACATCCTATTATTGGATCTAGAGGCCTTGTCCCATGCGTAATATTTGGATTGTATAGTACATTTTCCCATATTGGAGTTGCTGCAGCTGGTAGTGGTGGTTGTTGTAAATGACTGTAATTGGTCATGTTACTATAGGGACTGGCTTTTGACCCTGTGCTTTCAGCTTTCAGATATGATTCATACATCTGTGAAGCAGCAGGTGGAGTTGCAAATGGATCAAAGGACACCCTTCGTCTTCTTTCCTCCTCTCTCTTTTCAGCACTGTATACCACAGGTTGGCTTTCTGAATTATCCATCCGACTGCCATACTTATGATAATTTAATTCATCCTGCAGTTTTCTTTCTAGGCCCATAGAGGCCTCAAAGGAGGTCTCACAGCTCTCGACAGGCTGGTTTGCTGGAAAGGGAGCAAACATGGCTTCATCCATATTGCCAGTCATGAGACCCTGAGAGCTATGTAGGGAATTGGGCTGATCTGCAGTAGGGAAGGGAAATTAAATATTTTAATTATCCCATAATGCAAAGGTACAACTGTAGTTTTCAATTACATCTCAACAACACCATGGAAGAGACTAGCATTTTTATATTAAAAACAGCTAAATAATTCATAACATGTAACCAAAGGTAATTTCTTCTAGAAAAGATAATACTGTATTTTACATTTTACTTAAGACCTTTTCATCTGAAATGATCACAGACCACTTTATAAGCTGTGGGTCTGACCATACTGAAATCAATGGCAAAAGCTCAGTAACTTCATTGCTACAAGACCAGATCTTATAGACAGTACCGTATGTATAGGGATAGTAAATGTTTCAAGCACCACTGAACTGCAGCCACCTCTAAGCAGAACATGGCACAGAAATACAACACAACACATCAGGCCAACAAGGGAAGAATGAAAGGTCTTGGACTTTAGAGGGCCTGGTTCACTAATTTACCTCCAATGGAGTTATACTGCACAAAACTGGAGAGATATAGTGGAAAATCAGACTCACAGAATTTCACTGTAGGTGCTACTTTATACAGCACTAAAAGTCACATTTCTTTCAATGGTCCTATCCCAGCAAATCTCAAATTAGCCTTTATGAATGCATCATTCTGTATTTTTAATGAACTTTGATTTTCAATCTCTGTCTAGCTTGTTCTTCTAGAGTTCAGAGAATACATTTTAATAAAGATCCATTTCATGTCTATGGGCAAAGAAGGACGTAACCCATGATTTTCACCTAAACCTTACAGATAAATTCTGTCCTTGGATGGGTGCACACAGCTTCCCTTAGAGACAACGAAAGGTTTGCTTGTGGTCTGAAATGGACTGTTTGAATTCTAATTCTAAGCATTCTATAGCATCGCAAGACTGAACAAATATGTCAAAACCTGCTTTTTTATCATATTATTTGTTTATTTGTAGTATGGGGCTGAAGAGGCTCTCCTATTGAGATTTAAAAGGATTACAGCATCAACATGGAGCTTTGAAATGGTCTTGTAGATGTTGGGCATCACTGAAAATAATGGGGCTCAAAAAGGCCACTGTAGCCTTAGAACAAAGCTTATGTGGGACTGGATAGTCAGGGGATTGGTAATGATATATGGAATGTTGACCTTTCTATCTCTAGAATACATTTGAATCCAATCCAGGTTGGTGGTGAATGAAAACTTACTATCTGATGGCTGCTACATGGTAAATGTGACTTGGTTGACTTACTCTGGTTTCAAGTGGATAAATATCACCATTGCAAGAGGAAAAAAACAACCCCACTGTAGCTGGCAACTGTCAGCACTCAACAGACAGGTACTAGATTGAATGTCATGGACTGTGAACTACCCTACCGTCTCTACAAATGATCCTCCAGGGCAGGCTTGAGGATTATTGGTGGGGCACTATTGGTGGGGACTCTTAGGCATGTCTACACTACCACTTACGTCGGCAAAACTTACGTCGGTCAGGGATGTGAAAAAACACACCTCTGAGTGACATAAATTATGCCAGCATAACTGGTAGTGTGCACAGCTACTGCCACCCATTGGGGGTGGTTTAATTATGTTGATAGGAGAGCTCTCTCCCATTGGCATAGTGCGGCTACATGAGAGATCTGACAGTGGCACAGCTGCATCAGTACAGCTGTGCCACTGTAAGCTCTCTAGTGTAAACATAGCCTCAGAATATGTCTACACTGAGTTTTAAAACCCATGGCAATGAATCTGAGGCTCAGGCTGGAGCCTGGGCTCTGAAGCCTAGGGAGGCTGCAATGTCTACACTGTTCTTAATGCTACAGCATGAACCCAGGTCTGTACACCCGTGGCAAGGAGTCTCGGAGCCTGGGTTTTTAAAACACAAGCATATACATGCCCTTACACTACCACTGGCTGCATTGTGTCTATTTGCTGGATAAAGAGAGGACTTTAATCTGCAAGGTTGTCAGGGTATCACCTTTTACAAACACCACATTCACACCAAGTTTTTTAAAGGATGAGAGAGTTTGTAACATGGTGCTGCTACGTTTTAATATTTTTCCTAAGAAAACGTAACTTGCACATTAAAAATGTAGCCCTATTGAAATCCATTACCTCTGCTGAAGAATGGTATGAGTTGTTGCTAACCTGTCTTTGGGGTGAGATTTGTCAGGCAGATGATAAGACGGATCACATAATCTAGTTCATAGAATCATAGAATATCAAGGTTGGAAGGGACCTCAGGAGGTCATCTAGTCCAACCCCCTGCTCAAAGCAGGACCAATCCTCAGACAGATTTTTGCCCCAGACCCCTAAATGGCCCCCTCAAGGATTGAACTCACAACTGTGGGCTTAGCTGGTCAATGCTCAAACCACTGAGCTATCCCTCTTCAAAATGGTCTGAGCAAAAGAAAACTTTGCAGGAGTTTTTACTGGATTTTCTAACGTTGCTTATATGTGAGTGTGTGATGGGATATGTAAACCTGCCTGTGATGGGGTGTGCACCCCACACTGGCCCTGCAAGAGCTGAATTAGGCCAGATGGGCCCAATCTATTAATTAGGCTGCAAACTGGAGCATTTGGGCTGGAGGCAGCTAATTGGAGAATGTCTCACCCGTGCAGGAATGGGGAGGGAGGGGCTATATAAAATAAAGGAAAATGGAAATAGGGGGACTCCTGAGCAAATCTGCAGTCACTGCCTGGGAAGAGGGTTTGGAGGTAGCAGAGATGTGTAGCCTGTAGTTGCTCACTGGGAGAGGGGAGTGGTGAAGCTGACAGAGAAGGAAAGGAGAGCTAAAGGTTAGGACAGGGCTAAGGGAAATGCAGCAAGGTATGGGATGGAACAGACCCTGACTGCTGATTAGAAGGTGCCTGAGCCAGAACATGGAGTAGAGAATGGGCCCAGGTTTCCCAACCAGCCACTGGGGAAGTGCATAGGAAGACTGCCTGAGTCTGTTTGGCAGAAGAGATGTCTTCCTTTCCCCTCCCCCCTCAAAAGGGGAAACCACAATAGTGACCTAGCTGGGGGAGTGAGTCATGATGTGGCCACAGCAACTCCTAGAGTGAGAGAGCAGCTGCACACAGAGGTGGAGGGACGGTTTGCAGCTTTGGGGAGAGGTGTTGAACTGTTCCCCAGAATGGCCAGGAGGAGGTGCCAGACCTGTGGTGAGTAGAGCACCCTGTCACACTGCCACAGCTGAAAAGGAATTAACTGGAGCCTGAAAGCTCTATTAGTACTGCCTGGGAACACCTGGATAGCTCAAGGAGGCCTTGAAGGAAGGAGGTCAGGGCAGCTGGGAGGAGGCCCAGGAGAGATGATGTCTAATGTGCTCTCTGAGTGAGAGAGGGCTGGCTGGCAAGAGCTAGGAAGAGAGGTAAACCTGGAAAATGCAGAGGAAGGATTAGCTCTGCCAGCCAGTGTCCTGAGAACAGGATGAAGGATTCTGAGAACTAGACAGAGAGCCTATAATCAATCACATGCATCACGCTGCTGGGAGTGGTTTAATGGTATTTTGGTTTGTCACTGCTTGGCAGAGAGTCCAGGACTATAGAAAGACTCCAGGAGGAACAGAAGACATTTGAGTTGATTATATGTTATTTACCAGTTGTAGTGGACATTATTTGGGACTTTAAGGACAGTGGTGACCATGGAAGCAGGGGGACACTAGGGGAACCTGGCAAGGTCTCAACACAAGAGACCACCTAAAGGCTGTAAAGGGGAACTCTAGGATGGTGGATCTGTTACACAGTGCTACAGATTTGAACTCCTGCTAACAGGGCACTTGGGTGAAAGAAGTACAGACACACACTTTCCACTACAGACATAGTGTTATGGCCACATATAATTATCTACAACTATATACTTCCTCAAAGCTGTGAAACAAACCAGGATTTGAGCTGATATGTGACAAAGGAAGGAACAGATGAATGGAGTAACCCACGACCAATCCCATGGTGTCCAAGGCAGAATCAATAGGGAGCAAGATTTTAAAACAAGTGACATTCTAGTTTTTCACTCTAGTTGTTCTCGGGGCACTAAGGTTGGACTGGGAAGACAAGCTAACTCCAAAGACTGATATAGCATGGAACTGAAGCCTAAAGATCAAGCAAAAGTTTGTTGGTGTGAATCAACAGAGGGAAAGTTAAAGGATGTTATTAAAGTGAATATATAATGTAATGTGGTGATGGATAAATCAAGTATTGAACAAATGAAGTACAGATGGAAAGAGAAAATACTTTCTGCACAGAGACAAAAGCACAAGAGTTTAAAAATAACCTGTTTTATTTTCAAACTGTAGAGCCTGGAAATAGTGATCAAGAGATAGTGTCTTTGTGACTTGCATTTTAGAACAGCAGATAAATCTGATCTTTTTATTCAGTGCTCTAGATTCTCTCCTGAGTTCTGAACAACTGGGTCTGTTAGTTACAGCTTTTAATAATAATAATTATTAATAATGGAATCAATTTTATTTGTCCCCAATTTTGCCCTAAGCAGGCAATATGAAATAGTGTTATGAAGTGATGTAATAATCACCTGTTTGTGCATGTCCATTATTTGGAGATTCTGCGACAGAGTCTATCTGAAGGGACTGCATCCTTTTCACAAGTTCAGTTGGCCCAGGGTACACTTTCTGTACACAGGAAAAAATATGCAGCACATGAAAGTTTAAGCAAAGGAAGCATCTTTACTGTAGAAACCAAATGCATCCCCACAGCGAGTGGCCAAGTGAACAGCTTGCATACATCTCATGTTCTTTGTTGGTAGAATGCTGGTGGACCACGATCATTGCTTTGCAGGGCTTGCTTACTAGTGAGGCTAAGTTTACAGACAAGCAGTGTCTGCTTTCAAGGAAGGCAGGAATGATTACTATGTAAATACAGGGCATGATTCTCTGATCTGGCCAAGCTGTGCCCTTACTCACATTGACTACTGCCTTAGTCCATGAGCTAATCCCATTGGACTAGACAGTGACTCACTGCACTGCTCCCAACTCAGGTCTGTACCTACAAGTCACAGTCTTATCACATTGTAATCTATAGGATTGCTTGCAGAGTAAGATGCTGCTTAAGGTAAAGGTACCAGAATCATGCCCTATTTTATGTATTTACATGTAGAGCTTAACTGGAAAAAAATAATCCACAGCTATGGCCTTGTTCTGACAACAGTTTATATGTGGGATATGGGGACAGAGAGCTTGGTGAAGATCCTTGGAAGGAATGTTTTAGTGTTTCACTGCACTTTCACCTTTGCAAACCCTTGTCTTCATTTTGCAAGGCCCAAGGAATAATCATCTTTACCCTGGTATTTTGATGTTCCAGCCATACATGCCTTTTTGATGTCCTTACTCAAGTAAAACTTGAAGTCAAGTATCAGAGGGGTAGCCGTGTTAGTCTGAATCTGTAAAAAGCAACAGAGGGTCCTGTGGCACCTTTAAGACTAACAGAAGTACTTCTGTTAGTCTTAAAGGTGCCACAGGACCCTCTGTTGCTTTTTGAAGTCAAGTGCAATTTTACCAGATTAAGGACTTCTGGATTTGACCTTTTGTTCTTACTTGCACTTCTCAGAAAGTCATTAGTCACTGTCTTACCAGGAAGTCTTTTCACAAATTAAAAACCAACAACAATCTCTTCCAGGAAACATATCTTGATCCCAGGTAGTTCAAAACTTCATTTTGGCCTTCTGTTAGGGCCTGATTCTGGCACCCTACTTATGCAACTGTGTATTACCCTGCTCCAGGAAAAGTCCCATTTGTAAAGAGTGCAGCATACTCCACCCTTGTCTTATTTCAAAGAGACTATTTGCAGAGAAAAGTGCTACTCAAAAATCAAACCGTAAAAAGCTACAAAACATATTGGTACAGCTTTGTTACTTAACCATATTCATTTGCTTGTATGTTGCATCCATATCTCCTACCCCTGGTTTGTTTCTGCCTTTAGACTCTCAGCCATTGAGGGCAGGGATTGTCTCTTTTGTGCTTGTGCAGAGCCCAGCACGATTCTGATTGGTAGCACCCAAAAGCCCCATAATATAAAATATTTACTACTCAGAATTAGTATGAGTGGTAGAATCAGTTCCAGAAGAATATTTGTCTGTTTTGTCAACTTTATTTTGCAAAGCTTTGCTATCTTGCCAAAGAATACTGGACACATCTTCAAAGTCACTGCCTGGATTTCCCAAATCAGAAATGTTTTAATTCCCCATCCTGCAATTTCAGGGAGAGGGGAAAGCACCTGACAAAACATGGCTGTGTGGCAGAACAGTGGCACCATGGGGACACTTTCGCTTATTAGTTTAAAATATTGGGAATGCAGTCCTTGTCACCTCCGTATAAGTGGTACTTCCATTTCAGGGTTCAGCCACAGCATCAGGGCCTTAATGTCAGTAGGACTACTACAATGAGTAAATGTTTTCCAGTGTGACTCAGGGCTCCACAATCTGGCCCAAAGCATTTGCCAGGAAGTAACTTGCCTTTTCATTATTATTTCAAATCAGGAAAGCATCCTTCTGCACAATAGTTTGCAAGCTACATCCTATAGGAGGAACAGGGAACCAAGTTACAGCTGAGAGAGGACTCAAAACTTTGAATTTCCTGACTCTCATTTTAATTTAGATTACAGTAATGCTTAGAGGTCTCAACCAGGTTCAGGCCTCTCTGTGCTAGGTATTATGTAAACTGTATGTATTTAAAAACCTCAGCAATAACACTTCATAAACTATGAACCAGATTCTGTCATCTTAACTCATGCTGACTAGTAGCTTGCTGAACAAATAGTCTCTTTTGATTTCCATTAATGTCAATGCAGTAACACCAGTATAAAACTAACGTAAATGTGATTTCAGCAGAATTTCTAATGGAGGAAAGTTCTACTCACTGGCAATCAGAATCTAGCTCACAGGGCTTTTTTACCTGCCACCCATACTCACACTAAGTAGCCCTTTACTCCACAAGCAGACCTATTGGAATCACTGGGAGTGCTTATTGAATATAGCATTACTTAGTGTGAATAAGGGTGTTAGAATCTGGCCCTGTATGTATGTGTGTGTTTTTTACTTACAAGTTACGCTAGGAAGCATCTGGGATGCTACTTACCTTTATCTTTCTCAAGTCATCTTCAACATCTTTTTCTAGTTGCTCACAGTAAAATGGCTTATATTTCTGACTAATTTCTGCAGGAAAGGAAGATTAGGAGAAAGTAGTTTTAAATGGCAAATATAAATGACTGTGCTGCTTAGCTCACTTCCACCAAAACTTTAACCAGTTAGTTACATAAGTTTATAACAGGAGTTGGCTCATAAAAATTAGAGCAATGTTAGCGGGGCTGATTTAGTCTTAAAAAAGAATGTAGTAAGAACATTCTTGAATTCTTGTTCACTTTTAAGTATTGAATACATTCAGTTGCATTGGGCTATTTAATAAACACCTACCTACACAACTGCAAAGCCCGCACAGGCTGTAACTTTACAACAGGTGACTACAAAGACAGTGAGTGACAGCCAGGGTCTTCCAACAGTATTATGCTTTGCTTCCTATGTTCTAAGCTCCTGTAGTGTCTTAACAAGACAAAGATACAATTCTATCAAGCTTTAGGGCCAAACTCTGGTATATAATCACTGGCCTGAGCCAGGGAGCTCTGGATACCACGTGGCACCCACAGCATATGCCCTTTCCATGCAATCAGCTGTGTAATGGACCCCTATTCTTTGAGAGACCCCCTCTAGGGTGCATGGAGGGAGCAGGTTTCTGTGCTCCCTCAAGCACAAGGACTGCAATTTGGGACTGGCCCTTTTGCAGGACATGCAAAAAGAGGGAGAAGCCTTCTCCCTCATCCTCATCCATCCCCTTCATCTCACCTTCATGTGCCATGGGCAGTCAAAATCTGCAAAGCACCTCATATACAAACTATATCCCAAATGGAGTGCCTTGCTCCATGAGCGGTCCCAGACTGGGTCTGCTCATAACAGCTTTATAATACTACTTACCTTCTCTGAGAAGTGTTTTATTATCATTAATCCCATTTTACTGATAGGGAGAAACTAAGGCACAGTACTCGTATAGACCTGATGTACTAGCAGCAGAATATGCAGGTTTGAGAATGGGATAACAAGTAGGCCCTTAACAGGGTACTAAAGAGCTAAAAAAATAAAATGCAGGTGTGCATATTTGTGTGGTGAACTTTTAAACTTATGCACACTGCATACCAAACAGCTGCCTGCAGTATCAGTGCTACTGCCTAGAACCAACACTTTTACATGCAGTAGCTTTTCTTTTTTGTTTTAGTCACCAGTGTACTGAGAGCAAGGAAGAAAGAGCCAGGAAGACACAGCAGGAGCAGCAGTTTTTACCTGCTGAAAAGCTAGAAGCATCATCCCAAATCCACTCAAGCCAATGGAAAGACTCCCATTGACTGGTCCTATTGGAAGAGAATTAGCTAGTTATAGCCAATGGCTAATACATAGCTCAAGATAGTAGCTTGGAGAAAGTTATGTCTGAGACAGTTTTTTAAGCCAAATCTTGGAAGGCTGAATTACTTAGGGCCAGTCCTATGAAGTGGTGAGTGTCTCCCAATATCAGGCTTTTTGTGACATTAAAAAGGAGGGTTACCCTATGATGAAAACAGGGTGATGGATTTTTAGCTGGGGTAAGTTGGCAAAGCTCCACTGTAGTCAATGAAGCTATGACAATGTATATCTACAGAGGATGTGGTCCAGAGTTTATTCAGAATTCAGGTCAGATGATTGGAGGATAGCTAATATGATGCCAATTTTTAAAAAGGGCTCCAGAAGTGATCACGGCAATTACAGGCCAGTAAGCCTGACTTCAGTACCGGGCAAACTATCATAAAGAACAATATTGTCAGACATATAGAGGAACATAATTTGTTGAGGAAGACTCAACATGGTTTTAGTAAAGGGAAATCACGCCTCACCAATCTACTAGAATTCTTTGAGGGGGTCAACAAGCATGTGGACAAAGGAGATCCAGTGGATATAGTGTATTTAGATTTTCAGAAAGCCTTTGACAAGGTCCCTCACCAAAGGCTCTTAAGCAAAATAAGCAGTCATGGGATAAGAGGGAAGGTTCTCTCATGAATTGGTACCTGGTTAAAAAATAGGAAACAAAGGGTAGGAATAAATGGTCAGTTTTCAGAATGGAGAGAGGTAAATAGTGGTGTCCCCCAGGGATCTGTACTGGTCCCAGTCCTATTTAACATATTCATAAATGATTTGGAAAAAGGGGTAAACAGTGAGGTGGCAAAATTTGCAGATGATACAAAACTACTCAAGATAGTTAAGTCCCAGGCAGACTGCGAAGAGCTACAAAAGGATCTCACAAAACGGGGTGACTGGGTAACAAAATGGCAGATGAAATTTAATGTTGATAAATGCAAAGTAATGCACATTGGAAAACATAATCCTAACTATACATATATGATGGGGTCTAAATTAGCTGTTACCACTCAAGAAAGAGATCTTGGAGTCACTGTGGATAGTTCTCTGAAATCATCCGCTCAATGTGCAGCGGCAGTCAAAAAAGCAAACAGAATGTTGGCAATCCTCAAGAAAGGGATAGATAATATCAGAAAATATCATATTGCCTCTATATAAATCTATGGTATGCCCACACCTGGAATACTGCATGCAGATATGGTCACCCCATCTCAAAAAAAGATATATTGGAATTGGAAAAGGTTCAGAAAAGGGCAACAAAAATGATTAGGGGTATAGAACGGCTTCCGTATGAGGAGAGATTAATAAGACTGGGACTTTTCAGCTTGGAAAAGAGGCGACTAAGAGGGGATATGATAGAGGTCTATAAAATCATGAGTGGTATAGAGAAAGTAAATAAGGAAGTGTTATTTACTCCTTCTCATAATACAAGAACAAGGGGCCACCAAATGAAATTAATAGGTAGTAGGTTTAAAACAAACACAAGAAAGTATTTTTTCACGCAACTGACTGTCAACCTCTGGAACTCCTTGCCAGAGGGTGTTGGGAAGGCCAGTACTATAACGGGGTTCAAAAGGGAGCTAGATAGATTCATGGAAGATAGGTCCATCAATGGCTATTAGCCAGGATGGGCAGGAATGGTGTCCCTAGCCTCTGTTTGCCAGAAGCTGGGATTGAGTGACAGGGCATGGATCACTTGATGATAACCTGTCTGTTCATTCCCTTTGGGGCACCTGCCATTGGCCACTGTTGGAGGACAGGATACTGGGTTTGATGGACCTTTGGTCTGACCCCGTATGGCCGTTCTTATGTTCACGGATTTGACTTGTGTGTATGAGGAGATTAATTTTTATTTTGAAAAGAAACCCAAGACACAGAAGCCTGTTACAAACAAAAATCATGACCTTTCTGAAAGGAAGAATTAAGCTCATTTTGCCATATATTTTTTAAAATACTGGATATGTCAAAACAAAAATAATCCTGAAGCAATATTTTACCTGAAAAGGTCGGCCGATTTTCTGGCTCTTGTTGCCAACAGTACTTCATTAAGTCGATAATTTCCTTTGGACAACTGTCTTTAATATCTTCTGTATTTGGCCTGTTCCCATTCATGATGCCAAAGCAAATGTGTGTTTCATTTATAGCATCTGAAAAACAAAATCTCAGATCAGACTCCTAATCACAGGGTTTTGCCACCATGAAAGGTCATCTCCTAAAAACAGCAAAGAAAGTGCCCCATTTAGACCCACAAATCTGCTGGCACATGAAAATGCTTACTCTACGGATCTGACTCTGAAACCCTCACTCGTGATGAGTAGTACTTACTGTGAGTTCCGTTACTTGCATGAGTATTTCCTACTCAACAGGAGTTAGAGTTACGGAATTGAACCCTCTAGGGCCTGATTTTCAGTTGCTTTGTTCAAGTGCTTGGAGTAAAAACAGGGATGTGGCCTCAAAGGCAGTTTTAAGCCATCTTACTGTTCCTGTATTCCAGGGCTGTTCAGGGGCCTAGTTGGCGACCAATATAAGTGAGAGCAGCCCTTAGCCTGCTCCAACTTCTGCTCTGCTTCCCATGGCCATCTGTGCCAGGGGCTGGGAGCAAGTCTGGCAAGTATCCCTTAAGTCAGCTCTCCACCAGCGGAGCAGGCCCACTGCACTGGAAGGATTCTCCTGGGGGTTTCTCTGGCCCCTTCCAGGCCCAGAGTGGCAGAACTTAGCATAACTAAGGAGTAGGTGACCAGTGAGCAAACGCAAGATTAGTGCATATAACAGTCTGAGTATGTCTACATTTCAGAGACTATATCAGCATAACTGTCTGCATAGCTGTAGCAACATAACCCTATAGCGTGGGTGCAGCCTACCTTGACAGAAGTTTTTTCTGTTGCTGTAGGAACACCAACTCCCTGAACAACAATCGCTACATCAATGGAAGAATTCTTCCCTCGACATAGCTGTGTCTACACCCGGGGTTAGGTTGGCATAACTACGTCCGTCAGGGACATAGAGTTTTCACACCCCTAAATTAAGTAGCTGTATTGACCTATCTTGTAAGTACAGACCAGGTCTAAGTACAAATGCTGCAGGTAAAACTTGTGTCTGCCTTTTGAAAATCTGGCCCAGCCAGTATTTAGTATTTTAGTATCTGGTATAAGTTTCAGCACAAATGGGTTTGTAACAGGCAGTTAATGCAGTGTGTAGTGTAGTATAGTCAAGTGGAGTGTAGTATCAACATGGCAAGAGGAGAAGGTTATAATCCCCCAGGTGAAATGTGATTAGTGCAACAGAAGTATATAGAAGGGGAGGAGAGAGAGAAAAACAAAGGTGGTGTTGGTGGGTGTGGAGTGGGGAAGGGAGTTATACAGAACAGGAATTAATAGTGGATACGTATAGTAGCATCTATGACACATGGGGATCCAACAGAAACCAGTCATTTTACTAGTAAACATCCCCAACTAGGGCATTCATTCAGGTTCTAGAGTTTTACTAATCTAGCAAGGCCTAAGTAAAATGGAAAACAACAAGGGTTTAAACTGGAAATGGTTCTCCAAACTTGGAATCAGTCTGTTTGGATTTCAGGAGGATGACAGAGCATCACCACCAATGCCTGGGAGTGAGGTATTTCAGAAACTAACACAAGCTTTATCGTACGTGGCCAGTTAGGAGAAGCACTCCTAACGAGAGGTACTGCTTTCAGCTCTGGAAGCCAGAATTAAAGTGTGACTAAACCTCCAAGTAATATGAGTTTAGCAGTTATTTGTCCACATCATGTAGAACCACCACACAGTTTGTCAGAAATGTCAGTTTCTGCTCAGATGAGATCCAGGATTGCAATAGCAGGGATGATGCAGGTCAGGTGTGAGTGCCACTGGGTGAGTTATGTGGGGAAGCTTGTACTTTGGTGGCCAATCCTAACCTGCTCCAAGCAATGCTCTAAGTTTCCAACACTCACTAACATTCACAGGAAATTCATCAAAGGAAACAAATACAGTATGGAAAAGTAAAATGTGCCTATGTCTGCTATATTGTAACTGAACTGATTTTAAGTGTGTTATGGATGTTACAAACTAGGATTCCACCAAATCTTTGATATATTTTAAGACTGATAAGAGAAGTGGCCTAGTGGTCAAAGCACAGGACTGGGAGTCAGGAATTTCTAAATTCTAATCCCGGCCTTGGACAGTGACTCCTTCCATGGACTTGGACAAGTCACTTAACCCATCTGCCTTAGATTCCCCCCAGGATAACGACAACAACATAGGTGCACTGTGAGGATTAATTAGGCCTTGTCTATACTTGGAAACAGCCCTAATTTAGCAATCAGTGGCCAACAATTGCTGTAGCTGCATCAGTGCTGATCCTTAAGTGTAGGCAAAGGCAAGCCAGGGTTTGTACCAACTGAGATAATCGGGGTTCATTGCTGCTTCAAGTAGGGATAAACTTCAATTAGCTCCATCAATACAAACCTCTACATGTCTTTGTCCACCCTTAGAGGGCAGTTCTGGTGCAGCTGTACCAATTATTGGTCACCAGTTGCAGAATAGGAGCTATTCTTGAGTAGAGACAACTTATTTAATGCTTATAGGACATTTTGAAAATGTTATGTGCTAAGTATTATAAGTCTTAATTTTATAGCTTCCTTAAAGCAAACTCATTTAGCAATACAAGTCTCTCCAAGTGACCTACTTTCATATGGCTCTTTGTTGGCAAAAATTGCCCAGAGCACTATGCCAAAACTGTAAACATCTGACTTCTCCACAGGTTTTGTGTTAACTGAGAGTAAGTGCTCCGGGGCCATATAGAAAAGAGTGCCAGCGGCGCTCCTGGACGCGCTCTTGGAATTGCTCTTGATTTTCCTCTGCCGGCTGGTCTCTTCTTTGGTCAGTCTACTCCAGTTTTTAAAGCAGGCGACGCCAAGATCTGCAATCTGTAAAACAGGTCAAATCAGAGCTACTGAAAATGGAGGATGTGGCTAATAAAGGGGAGAGATGGAGCAAATTGTTTCACATATTACTCAAAGTTTGTTAAATATGAGGGAATATTTATTGAAATGACGACTTATCTGAAAACTCAAACTCTTCAATAAGTATAACCAAAGAGGGCCAATTAAATCATATTTTAAAGATCTCTGTGAATTTGTTGCCTGAATCAAATATTGTTGCCAACTGAGACACATTGAATTTGAACATGTTGAGACACTGTTATAGCCCAACCATGTTATAACACAACGTGGCTTTGCTTATATGGATGAGACCAAACTGGGTTAAAATCATGTTAGAGAATGGAAGTTCAGGGTGAAATTCATCCCAGTGGAGGAGGTCAACACAGATACACAGTGGCTAAGATTAGGATAGGCCTGGATGGGGAATTAACCAATTCCATCCCAATTATAAAGGGGTTTCGACAACGCTGTCTCTTAGCCCCTTTTCTTTTTAACTTTTATATCAATGATGTTTTAGCATTAAAAGGGCATCAGTATTTGCGCCCCCACAATTATGAATCACTTTGTCTTATTCTATGCCGACAACATGGTTCTATCTCAAACACCATTGGGACTGAAGCGTTTTAAACTCATTTGGTTTATACTGTCAACGGGAGGGCCTCTTGATAGATTATTTGAAAACTAAAGTAACTGTCTTTAGTCAGAGACAGAGGTTTCATAAATGGAAGATCAATGGGCAGTGTATTGAACAAGTTAGCTCTTTCTCCTATCTGGGTATCTGATTCACACAAAATTGTTTGTGGGATAAACATATTGCGGTAACAAAAGAAGGCCTCAAATTCAATGCAAGCTGTGTTACATATTTCCTGGACTCCTGGGGGCCACTTAATTGCACCAGTCTTTAAGAGTATTTTGAGACTTGGATTTTGTATGGCGCTTGGATTTTATATGGCACAGAAATATGGGGATGGAATGATCCCCACTGCCCCCGGGACTGGAAGTGATTCAGAACAAATTTCTCAGGAGGATTCTTGGTCTCCCAAATAATACCCCAGCTGCTCTTAGAGCTGAGACAGGTATGAACTCTATTCTGTCCAAAGTGCAATATAGGAAAATTAATTTTTGGCTTTGCATTCATAGCATGCACCCATAGCATTTGTCAAGGTTAGACTTAGCAGAACGGCTCAGTAGGACTTTTTCACATAAATTTGCATTCTCTAGGTTTCTCGGAATTGGAAATAATTAGATTTAAGTTTTAAAATGTGAAATCCATAATCTGGTCGAGAACAGAAGATATTAATAAGCAAATATATATGGTAGTGATTTCTATTTCAAATAGGTCACCTTGGTTCCTCCATGTTAAAAAGACTCCTGGGTATGCCAGATATTGAGAGAGTTGTGTAATAACTTGCTAAGGAGGGCCATGAGAGTTCTCCATTTTCAATCAATGAAGACCGCGTACTTAGAAAGCCGATATACTGGCACCGAGAAATGTAACCACCTCTGTCCATGAGGCTTCGGGCATTATTTATTACATTATAACCTGTATTGCCACTTGAGGTCAAAATGGCTCTCCGTGTTTTTGTCCCAGATGCCTTTTTTTATGCCCTCTCAGATTAGGAACTGTTAAGAACTGACAATGTACTGTGATCCGAGCAGTTGCTCTATTTGCATGAGCAGCTACTAAAATAAGGAAAAGGCAAGTGATACGGTGATCATATATGGTTTAACGGTGTATGTCCTTTTTAATTTTTATTTATAAGTATTTTAACGTTTTATAATTTTAGATTTTCAGTTTCATTGTAATACTTTGGGGATTTTTGTTAGCCCTAGGTGAATAAATTCATCACGGATAAGTCGCTATTAATAAACGTTGTGTCCCCTAGACTTCCTTTAGCTCCCTAGTAGGCCAAATTCAGAAGTGATGTATAACATGTATGGGTGAGTATAAGTTACATGTTGGTAAGGAGGTGTATGCATGTTGTGGGAGACTTATACCAAACCAGACTCTATCTAACTTCCTTAGGCCCAATCTTCTCTAGAACACTGGTTTGTCCTTACAGATGTTAGCAGTGTTGGGGGACCTTGTGCAGACTGGTCACCAGCTGTTGCTTTAACCACCATGTTAACCCAACCTGCTCAGAGCAAGTCTGACTCATCTCTAAATTTGGCCTCAGAGCTTTAATGGGGTTCTGTAACATGGTTATGAGCACTTGGTTTGGTTCCATCCATGTAAACAAGACCAAATATTAAGATTAGTTATCCAGTTACATATGCAGTATTGATGGGGACTTAATCATTTGGTGTCTCTGCAGTTAGCTTCTCTTATCCTCTCTGCAGGATGCTCCAAAGTTGTTGTTTTTTCATTTGCTGTTAGCTCAGACTTGTCATGTCACATGAGCTAATGACAAGTGACATATATCAAGCAACAGAGCTTTCCTTACAAGGGGCTCATTAAATAACTGCAAGTAACGACAGGGGAGACTGTTTCAGTAGTTCATCTTCACAGGACATATGTCCACAGAACAAAAGACATGGGCTGCTGCAGATCCTACTCAGATTTACTCAGCAGCAGGCACCGTGAATAGAGGATTTGATTCAAAGCACCTGAAGTCAGTACAAAAACTTCAGTTGACTTCAATGGGCTTTGGATCAGGCCCACAAAACACTTCTGTGAAAGTCTGTGTCACTGCTTTTCTTCTGTAGCTGCTGGCTGACATCTAAAAGTAAGGAAGAGAGGGAAAGATGCACACAAAAAATTAAAAGGTTAAAAAAGGAAAACGCAGGAAGAGGGAAAGCGCAGGAAGAGAAAACACAGATGAGATAGGAACAAAGGTGTGATATTTGCCATAAAGCAGTTTGATGTGCTGTTCTGGTATTTCTATTTTTTCCCCTCAAGTTGTGTTTGTTGAGGTTTGTCTAAAATTAATAACTTGTAAATAAATTAATGAATAAAATAACCAAGTGAGCAAAGCCAGTATTTTCTCTCTACTTTCCATCCCATATACTTTTGGCAGAGACAGATAATGAACATTTCAGGATCAGCTTGTAGGTGGGCCACCACATTTTAAAGATGGGCTACTAAAATTTGATTTTTGACAGCCCACTGGACTACTAGGTTATTAATCCTTGATAAACTCCAGCCTATATAGCAGGAGCCGCACTCTATGGCCCAAATCACAAGTGTTCTGTGTTTAAATTCTAACAGTACCTTAATGTGAAAGTTATCGTCTACAAGGATGTTTTCTGGTTTCAAGTCTTTGTGTACCAAACTCTGCTCATTTAAATAAAGCATTCCTTCAATGATCTCCAAGATGAACCGCCCTTTCACAGACAAGGGAATAGTGGACTAAAATAAAGAACAGGAAATACAAATTATCAAAACTATTGCATAGTACATCATAAAATGAAACAAATGGCCTTTAAAAGGCTCCCCCTCTCAGCCTTCCACAGTATCTTTGCTCAAAGTGGGAATTAAAAATCACTGAAGTCCTTCTTGGACCTAGATTCCACTCAATTGCACCAGAGTAAATCTGGAGTAACTCCATATTTACACTGGTGGAACTGAGATCAGACACAGGCCCTCTATGATTACTCCTCAGCGGGTCTCAACAGATGCATCCGCACAACTCTCATAGATTTCAGTGGGAAATGAACGCATGTACCTGAGGGCAGAATTTGGCCCAATGATTAAAAGACTCGAATGAGTCTGTCAAAGGCTACTGCTACGTTAGATCCAAGATCTAACTCACTGGGGTTAAAGGCTGCCCTACTTACACACAGTGTAAATTAAAGGGGACAGCAGGGGGTCTGAGAGTGGTTGTGGGAAAGACTATTTTACCGAGCAGCATGGTACCAGAGCAACATTTCGGGTATTCTGCTGCCAGTACTCAAGCCCACTACTAGTAACAACTAGGACTTTGTGCACCACTATATGGATAAGCCAGAGGGATAGTAGGCCTTTGGATGCACAGAATGGCAGATTCATTAGCCATTCCCAGGCACCTTTCCAACCCCCTCCACCTGCCATGGAGAAAGACATCCTAGAGTGCACAGGGTGTAAATAACCTTTCAATCTCCTGTCCCTTCTGCTGGTTTTAGAATCTGCTGTACCTGTAGAGGCAGAGGCTGCATTTGGCCCTACAGCAGGGAAAAGGGGATCAGAAATTGAAGATTCTATGCATAGTTATTTCCTTTGGCAACAAAAACCACATCCTGTCCTTTTCACAGTTCTTATCAACCCTGATTGGAAAGTTTGCTTTCACTTCCCCTTATGAATAAGGTATAAACAACATTTCACCCGTAACCTTCCTAAACCAAAGCTTACACGAAGCAAATCACTGATTATTTTTTTCTGCCAAATAAAAGCATAAAGTAAAATCTCTAAAAAGACCAGAAAAACCACTAAGTGATTTTTAAGATATACAGCAGTATCAGCTTCCTGCAATAATAACTGATGAATGCATGTAGGAGAGATTATTTACTTCACTACTCACTGTTTTTAGTACTTTCATCAAGTTTCCCTTGTGCACATACTCCATCACCAGAGAGTAGTTCCCATCTTCCAGAATGATGCCTAGTAATTTCACCACCCGATCATGACTTAGTTTGCGCATAATTTTGCCTTCTTCAAGAAGGGAAGCATTATATCTGTGAAATGGAAACTACAGGATTACATTGTGTACAGGTATCAGACTGGTAAGAGCATAGTAAGGCATAAATATCCTGTTGACTCATAGTGAAAGTGATGGCCAGAAAAGTAAGTCCATCTTCATGACTTCTTTAAGGTGGGCCAGGTCTTCAGCTGGTTTAAATCCACTGAATTCTGTTTATACTATCTGAGCCTCTAGCCTAGTAACTTTTATATCTGTTCCCAACTTAACTAGTCTGTTCACATACTCTTAATTTAGGGCCTGATTTTTAGTAAGTGTGCAGGTATACATGCTTTGTGTATGCAGTGCTGGATGGGTGTATGCAGGTCCCTGACTTGCATGTATCTAGCCTGCTTACAAACTTGATGAAAATTAGGCCTTCAATAACTTTTTTTTCTGAATTTTGGAAAATGGTTTACATTATATTTGAGGACATGGCTATTAATTGGCTTAATTTATTACAGACACAGTAAGATACCAAACACAGACTACTTCTCTATAGCTGCCTTCTCTATAGCTAAAAATATAATAATGTAGTTAGAATTTCAAAGCAAGTTAATCTTTTAAAATTGCATTTTCCAAAGTGCTCTATGCACTCTCCTGTGGGGATAAAGAACTAGCCAGGGGAAGGGGAGACACAGATAGACCTCACAATTGTTCTATAGAATCTCTACTTTCATTTAAAAAAACATTAGCCTCTAGCTGTTGTGGGTTTGAATGAAACTTTCAAATCATGACCCAAGTGTAACTGATGCAGTTATATCTGCCGGAGTTTGCAGACAGTCTGAAACAATAAATCTGAAAGGTATGAACATCTCAGTGGGCACTAACTCAGATGCCAATGAATATACTTTGTAAGTCATTGCTTAATATAAAAAATTAAGAAGGCAGTTAGAAATACAATCTAACTTCATAACATTATAAAATCGGGGTAGGCTTTTAGCAATAGATGGTGGAGCTGACGAAGGCACAATTAGTTTCATATTCCCACAGGGGGCTCAGTTTTCAAAAGTTTGTGAAACACTGTCCTATTGGTTGAAGGATCCATAAGTGAGATGCCTAAAACACACAGGGAAAGAGGGAGTCACAGAGAAAGAGAAAGAGAAGGGCTTTGGATAGTTAGTGCAGGAACTTGAATGGAGGGACGTAGGGCTTGGCCACCAACTTGTGTCAGTATAACTATGTCGTGCCACACCCCTGAGTGACACAATTACTGTACACTGACCTAAACCCCAATGTAGACAGTGCTATGCCAACAGGAGGGCTTCTCCTGTCGACCTAGCTACCGTGCCTCAGGGAGGTGGAGTACCTATGCTGATGGGAATAAGCACTACAGCAGCGCAGCTCCACCAGGGCCGCTGCAGTGCTGTAAGTGTAGACAAGGCCTAGGACTCTTTAGTAAAGTGCTAGTATTCCGGGACTGACTTAAAAGCTAATTTCAGACAGGATTTATTACAGAGGGATCATCCAACCATGGCTGTGGACAGTGTTTAATTTGTAATGAAAGAGCTGCACAAATTAAGCAGTAGTTGGGTGGCCGGAGAGCGGCGGTGGCTGCTGGCTGGCCTCCCAGCTCTGAAGGCAGCACTGCCGCAGCAGCAGCACAGAAGTAAGGGTGGCATGGTATGGATATTGCCACCCTTACTTCTGCGCTGCTGCTGGTGCCAGCACAGCCTTCAAAACTGGGTGGCCAGAGAGCAGTGGCTTCTGCCTGGGAACCCAGAGGTGCCAGCGCTATGAACTGCCATGCCTAGAGGTGCCAGGACTTAGCCCCAGCAAGCCCAGGCACAAATTAAGCACTGGCTGTGGATACTGGATGTTCATAACCCTCGTTATTATGGATTAATGGCTTGCAACACTGATTGTCGAAAGCCACATTCTGCTTGGTCAGCTGGTGATCTGCATCATCACTCAAGAGCGCACAGCTAGGAGCTCATCGAGGATTGTTTAAAAAAAAAAAAAAACCCCGTAAGCATTGTGTAAAATGGGGAATAGTCAAGTTAGTGAGAAGAAAAAGAATTGTGGCCATAGTGCAAGAGGAAGTAGCAGCTTCCCTGTAGTATGTTGTGTGCTAGCACTCTCCCAGGCTGTGATTCAAAGGGAAACTGCCCCTTCCCAGTCTTGAGTGTCACTCTACAGCAATACAGAAGAGGCTGGGCTGCTTTCAGCTGCTCTAGGCTCAATTAGGAGCTTTTTTAAGGCTTCTGATCAACATTTTAAGTAAAAATAAACTTAAGGATTTGAGATAGAGGAGGAGAGAAAAACAGTAAAGGCAGCCAGAAGGTAGGGGAGAAAAGCGTTGCGGGCAGCAGTCTGTGGACTATCAGAGTCTCTTCATTCACTTCCCGCTCTTAAAACTAACCTGGGAACTGTTCCATAGTCTCAGTTCAGTTTTTATACCGAATTAGAAGAATGTGGGTATTTGTGTCCTTCTAGTGGTTGGTCCACATAAGAGGTTTACAACTCTACTACTGCTCCCAGCTAATGGACTTAGAGCCTGACCCAAAGTTAATGGAGTCTTTGCATTAAATGCAGAGGACTTGACTTCAAGCTGTTAGTCCTGCAGTTCAAAGGACAGAGGCTCCCGCTCGTCATGGTGTAGTGCTGGGGTTCAAACCTGGCTGTTGGCCCGGGCAGCATTAGTTAAAATAACAGAAATTGTTTTCCTGCTACTCCTAACTGGACATTTCCAGTTAAGTGCCTGATTGTGTTTTTCATTTACATGCTTAAAAAAAAGTGCCACCCAGTTGAGTTTTTGCTTTCATTTAGGCACACAAGAATTTATTTGCTTTTAAGGACCCCATGTGGAAATAGTTAAATTCCCAGGTAATGGAGAACTTCATTATAAAGATGAGGCAATGCTTTAGAAAGGTCAGCTTTGGAGAAAAAATAAAAACCTTAGCGGAAAGTTCTACTGGTGCCTGCAATATCCACATACAACATCTTTCTTCCAAAGATTTTAAATGCTATATAGTCTCTCTCTTCATCTGTAGCAAATTGCTTCACAAAGGAGATCAGTATCATCATCCCCATTTTACAAATGGGGAAACTGAGGCACTGAGCAGGGAAATGATTCACCCACAGTCACACAGGATAGCTGTGGCAAAGCAGGGACTTGAATCCAAGTCCAAGTTCAGTGCTCTATCTATTAGGCAACACTGCCTCCCTTTAAAATAAAGTAAAAATGCTTTACAACAATCAACGAGGCAAGAAGTGCAATACAGGGATCACAGCAACTGCCACTGGGGTGGAACACAGCAATGCTGCACATAGAGATAGTACATAATAGTTCAGGACAGCTAGTGAAAATGAATTCTCTGCACAGTCCATGTAATATTTCACTAATGAAATGCAATTTGCTAATAACAGATTCCACCCACATAATCACCATAAATCACTCTTAGTCCTAATGTAGAACACATTCTCCATCATCTGCAGTTTGGCGAGTTCACTATACAGCTATGTGCTGCACACGTTATATCCATCCTGAAAATATTCTCTGCACCGAATTGCCATTTATCCTAAGATCTCTTTACACTACTTCGGCAGCGTAAAATGGCCTCAAAATGGGTGTACAGGTAAGGCCCCTTTACACTGTCACAGTGATGTAAAGGGGCCTTAGCGTAAATGAGAATCAAGCCCCCTCTCTCCAACTTACTCTGTGCGCTGGGGTCCCGTATACACTGTTTTTAATACCACAAGCCCATATTTCTTGTGATAACATAAAGAAACCATTCCAAATCCTCCAGCATCTAGTTCTTCCTTCTGCAGCAAGTCCTGCGTGTTCATGTGAATATCTTCCAGCGACATCTTTGTAGCCTCCAAGAGTTTAGGGTTTACAAAAATACAATACTCCTGGATCTGTAACATGAAGAGAGAAGACAAAGAAAGTGTCATCATCCAACATTCATGTCACAGTAAATGAAGATCTAGTTATGCAGGTAAGCCCAGATCCTCAAAGGTACAGCATTTCGATGCCTAACATCCCCTGAAATAAATGGAAGTTAAGTGCCTAAATACCTTTGAGGATCTCGGCCCTGGGGCACTGTGTACCTCAAAGAAACACCCTGGAACCCCTGTATTTACCATTGTCATATAATTATATGTTTTGTACAAAGTATGCCTGTGAGGTATCATTTTAAAAGCCTTGATCTGTTGGACATTAATATCCTGTTGGATTGTATGTGCTATCATTGTATGGGAAGTTATGAATTTTTGCTGTGTGTGTCATACCGAAATACGTTGTGAGGCTGGGAACACCCACAACCGGCCTTTCAGATACAACAATGGAGTAGCCAGACATGCTGAAAGGTCCATTAAAGAGAATCCACTATCCCAGGAACTGTACACAATGGAGACTTCTCAGAGGTAGCACTTAAGACAATGCAGAATGCTTGACTAATGGAGGCAGACACCCATGTCACAAGCAAGCTGGAAGAAACTATAAAGAGGGGAAGTGACATCATGACTCGGTCTCACCCTTCCACAACTCAACACCTGGAAACATGTCAGGTGGACAAAAACTTTGAAAAAGGGGATGGGGGGCCCAGGAGGAGAGTTCCAGCCTGTGTATTGAAGATCTGTGACCTGTTTGTACCATCTATCAGGGTGAGATACTGCTTGATTCAAATCCTGTTTACTTTATAGAACTGATTGCAAATCTCCTTTTATTTCTTAGGTAAGCAACTTTGATCTCTACACTTACTACTTATAATCATTTAAAATCTCTCTTTCTGTAGTTAATAAATCTGTTTTATATTTTACCTAAAACAGTGTGTTTTGATTGAAGTGCTTGGGAAATCTCAGCTCAGTTTACAAAGACTAGTTTGTGTCCTCTCCATATTGAGGGAGGAGCGGACTGGGTAATGAATTTACACTAGTCAGGCTTCTGACTAGGGCAAGACGGTACAGTTTTGGGGTGCCGAGCTGGGGGGATTTGGCTGGAGCCTCTCTATTGTTATATTCATGAGTGGCTGAGAGAAGCATTCATGTAACTCAGTTGGGTGTGTACCTGCCTGTGGATGTCTGTATAAGAACAGTACCTGTCAGAAGTTTGTAGCTTGTCAAAGCATCACATTGTGAGAGGGATACCCCAAGTTGGTGGGACAAGAGGGCTCAGCGGTCCCACAGTTCAGGCTGCACCCTGGGAACCCTGTCACAGGAACATAGTATCTTGTTTATTTATCAGCATCACAAAATGATAGGTAAGTGGGCCCAACTCAGAGCTGATTCAGGTTGCCTGGTGTCCGGTTTTCAACCAGAACACCTGGTCAAAAAGGGACCCTCCCAGCCCAGTGAAAATGAGCGAGTCGCTGGGGGGGGGGGGGGGGGAGGGAAGGAGAGCGAGCGATGGAGGGTGGAGTGAGCAGGGTGGGCCCTTGAAGGAGTGGGGCAAGGGTGTTTGGTTTTGTCTGATTAGAAAGTTGGCAACCAAGTAGCATCTCATAGAATCAGGTCCAAAAAATCACAAGTGGTAGTTTATGGTGAGTTACTATCACTCTAACATTTAGATCATAATAGTATTTTGTTCTTCTACTGGAGGATCTCAATGCACTGTACAAACATTGATTAATTAGTTCTCAGCTTGTAATGTACAGCAGTTTAGTATTATTACCCCTATTTATAGAGGAGAATATTGAAGAGCAGAGAAGTTAAGGACCAGATTTTCAAAGGTATTTAGGCACCTAAAGATACAGATAGAAACAGTGGGATTTTCAAAAATGCCTAGCGCCTAATCAATGGGACTACTTGTGGAATAAGGTACTACTCAATGTGAGTAAAGGTGGCAGAATTGCACTGTTTCTTATTGCTCCTTCACACCCCGCAGATCACCAGTCCCAGGGCCTCAGGATCCTGCCTTAACACACTCATGAATTATGAACTAACATTCTGTAAACAGTGCAAACCCTCAACAGAGATTGTGGTTTGTTAAGCACAGAAGAAAGTTTCTCTTCTCACAGTATAACAAGGTGTGCTGGCTCTCTAAGACATGCTAAGAGTCAGCCCTACCCCAGTTTCAATCTAGAATGGCTGGAATTCTGAGAAATGTAGTCTCAGGTTGATAGGAGTTAGAGGCGGTCAGAGGAAGGCTGTCAGAGGGTGCTAGGGAATATAAGTAGCCCCTTTCCCTGAGAACAAAGGGAGAGTATGACAGGAGCAAGACTTCTTGTGAGGATCCCTGCATACACCATAAAGAAAGTCACAGAGTTGTTTGTCTCTTTAGTCTAACAATCTGAGAAAAGCCTGAAAAAGCCAGTTAAGAGCTGATGAAAAGGCCTGAAAAGGCAGCTGAGTAAAAGTGTACCTTATGACCTCATTTTCACTATGGGGAAAAAAAAAAGGTGCGTGCTCTTATTTGCGCTAGCTAACTTGAGTTAACTAAGAAGAGGTAAAATCCTAGTGAAGACAAGGCAGTTTACAATTTTCACATTAAACTTTAACTCGACCTGCTAACTTGTGTGGAAACTACAAACTGTCTTGTCCTCACTAGGATTTTACCTAACTTGAGTTAGGAACACACCTATTTTTCTTTTTTGTAATGAAGACAAGACTTAAGAGACTACCTGGGTTTGTGCTAGGTTGCTTTCTTCTCCCTCAAACCCTGGCCAGGGGCTTAATTAATAGGTTTGGATGATTATAATAGCCCAAGTACACAGACCTGGGAACAGGGTATTGTTGTCAAGGGTTGGCTGCTAGCAGCTGCAGCAGATTAGCCCTTTAAGGCAGCAGGAAACTAACTGCATTAAGGAGTGGAAGAAGTGAGTGGGTGTCTAGAATGTGGCTAAACAAACTGTGAATGCTGACAATGCTGGCCTGTGGTTATCTGGCCTTTAAACTAGGGGAAAGAGAAGAAGGGAGAGTGTGTTGCTACACCTAGTGCCTGCTCTTCTGTCAAAGGACTTATGCTTGAACTCATCATTCCCTGAGGGCCCACCAGCGGGGTGCTGCTGGATTGACATGGAATCCTGAGGGAGAGCCTATGGCCCAAGAAGAGAAGATAGAATGTATCTACATCAGATTCTTCTCTTATCACTTATCACTACTTTGAAGGAATATAGTTCTAGTTAGTTGGAGAGCTATCCTACAAGCAAGGAAACTTGGGCAATGGCTGCATTCACATGGACGGAAGGTAAGCCCCTGCCATACGTGGCCATCAGTTTTGGTATATGGGCCAGGCTATATGGCAGTGGTTCTCAAACTTCTGTACCGGTGACCCCTTTCACATAGCAATCCTCTGTGTGCTGCCCCTCCCCCCAAATATATAAAAAAGTGTTTTTAATTTATAACACCATAATAAATGCTCAAGGCAAAGCGGGGTTTGGGGTGGAGGCTGACAGCTCATGATCCCCTATGTAATAACCTTGTCACCCCCAAGGGGTCCTGACCCCCAGTTTGAGAACCCCTGCTATATGGTATGCATGTCATTGATCGCATAAGGGAGCTGTGAGGCTTAACTAAACTTGTAAAAACACTTTAAGATCCTTAAATAAAAGGTCCTGCTATATGAAGACAAAGTATTTGTATTGTATATTTCTGACACCTAAAACTATCAAATGATCCATCTTTTCATACTCTAGCTCAGGGGTAGGCAACCTAAGGCAAATAAAAAGAATCCAATATTAACTTTCTAAAATCATTTCTTTTGGGGGGCAGGGAGCGGGAGGCTAGCCCTGACTCATGCCTTTTGAACATTTAATGTTGGCAATATTGTGTCTCAGTTCCCCATGTATGAAATGGAATGAACATTGCTGCCCTACCACATTCAGGTGTTGGAAGGCAAACTTTTGGAAGTCAGATGTAATATCATTTTAAAGTTTTACTTCAAAGAATGCAATGGGAGGAAAATAGCAAAGTGTGTAGCTTAGAAAAACAACATCACCACCCCGAGAAAACTGGAATCCTTTCACTGAAATGAAAGAAATGCCATGTAACATGTGACTAAATGCAGTTTAAAATCTATGAACCCATAACATTAAGATCCTAACTGAGTGACAATATATGGGTAGACCTAAAAATACAGTTTTAAACACAAACACTATTCACGGTCTTGTATTACCAAGAAACGAATTCATGCCCTCAGGGTCCTCTTTTTTTTTTTTTCCTTCTTCTTCTTCTTCTTCAGCAGAACAATTAATACTTAACGTGGTGCAGGGAATGCAGTTCCCTGTGCCATTTCATAGCCTGACTTTCAAAATGCATGTACACAACTGCACACCTACTGTAACTTACCTCTCTAAATCAGGCATTTGCACATGCAATTGGTCAAGAATATATCTAACTAGTCATTTCTCATCTACATAACCAGTATGCACATGCAAGAACTGCATGTACATTTTTGAAAATCAGGCCTTTAAAACTACACCAATTCTGTTGAAATTTGGAATTACTGTTCTATTAAGTAATGTAAAACTTCCTGAGTGAAGACAGGTTTCAGAGTGGTAGCCGCGTTGGTCTGTATCAGCAAAAAGAACGAGGAGTACTTGTCTAAGGTGTACTCACAAGTACTCCTTGTTCTTTTTGAGTGAAGACAGTTTTTACCCCAAATTGCTTACAATCGAAGGCCCTGATCCTGTCCCAAATCACTTATGAATGTAAGTAATTGCAGGTCAGCAAATAGTCACTTTGATAAAATAGAACACTGGGCATATATTTTCTAATATGTAACTGTTTCAATATTAACAATCCTAAATGTTGGAACAGGACTTGTATGAAATTGTAAGAGTGAAATACACATTGGTTGAGGGCCAACACCAACTAGGGACCAAATTCTGCAAAGTGCTGAGGACTTCTTGCAATGGGAGTCCAGGGTACTCAGTGTCTCGTGGAAGATACTTAGCACCTTTTGGGATTATACGCACA